AGGAGACTTCAGAAAATGTTATAAGTAGCTTAACTACAATTATACAGGTGAACTCTAACTCAGGAGATTAAAAAGAAATTCAGAAAGATCAATAGAGCCACCATGATTAATGTTGTTTATCACAGAGAAGGAAACATTACCAGAAAACTAAAAATTAGAAACCACCTCCCAGATCTTTATTATGGCAAAGTGGGGGAAACTACTACTATTGTTTAGATGTTCATGCTTATGAAGTTTCTAGAACAAATTAATCTAACATAGTAGAGACATGTTGGCTGCGTGCTAGGCAAACGCCCTACCCGCTCTCATGTACTTTGTAAAGTAGTTGGGAAATGATCAGCAATTTCTAGGCTCCAGCAAGAGATTCTGGAATGTTTTTATGTTTTATGATGTGAGTTGTGCCAAAGATTGAACCCAGAAATTCTTGTATTCAAGGCATGTGCTCCACCACTGAGCCACAGCCAAAAAATGTTTTCTTTTATTTTTGAGGTGCTAGGGATAGAACCCAAGATCTCAAATATGGAAGTCAAGAGCTCTACTGCTGAAACTACATCCCCAGCCTTTGAAAAGATTGTCATATTCAAGTTCATTCTGTTCTGATTAAGTAGCACTGTGGGGGATGGAGCGATAGCACAATGGGTAGGGCATTTGCCTTGCACACGGCTGACCCGGACTCAACTCCCAGCATCCCATATGGCCCCCTGAGCACCGCCAAGAGTAACCCCTGTGCATTGCCGAGTGTGACCCAGAAAGCAAAAAAAAAAAAAATAGTACTGTGGTTATATAGCTTCCATGCTCCGAAAATACAAGGCTATGTTTATGGACAGGAGAGTTAGTACAGAGGTTAAGATGCTTGCCTTCAACACTGCCAACCCTAATTCAATCCCTGGCACCATGTATGGTCCTCTGAGCATTGCCAGGAATTATCCCTGAGCACAGATCCAGGAGTAAACACTGAACACTGCCATGTCGGCCCCAAAACAACAAGCAAAATACTATGTTATGTTTAAATAAAATCAGAAAGGGATTTTTTTTTTACTTTATTGAAAGACTTATGAGCTTTGGTATTTTTATCTACAAAATGGACAATAGTAACCTCTCATCTATCTTCCGATAAAAAGTATGTGAAAGTACTTTAAAAATATTAGTCATATACAATTTAAAAAAACAGTAAGTAGAAAGAAAATGAGGCACAGTGGGATGAGAGATAAATGAAGAGAAGTAGGAAATGCAATAGCACTATAAAAATCGTTTTAGAGCTGAAAAAGACCTTAATGGGAAAGCCCTCTCAGTTTTTGAATATAAGTGTAATGAGGCCCAAGGAGGTTAAGTGTCTTGCTTTAAGTCTCACAGTAAATCAATGGTGCAAAGAAAGAAAATGAAAAAGGGAAATGGGGAAAAGACTCTAAGAATTTGAAGTCAAAAATGTTCTCACAAAACTGACCCAGGAGGCCTGCTAAGAACTCGCCAAGCTTTTCGCTTTGCTTGGAAAACTCAATGAAGTGAAAGCCTTTGGAACTCAGCCAAGGTCACATATCGGACCTTGGTTCCCGCAGTCATTTTCCCAAGGGTCTCAATCAGAAAGCCAGCGCAAGCACCCTTCCACTCTCAGTGTTCATCCTCACTTTATCTGTACACCTCTCTTCAGTCCCAAGTCTGAAGAAAATTCTGAGGGAAAATCAGCACCCACAGCCTAGTGCTTTGCTCTTCCCTTTCACTATATGAAGTTACACCCGCTCCCTCCAGAAAAAAAAAAAATGTTTCTTCAGATTACTTCAGAGATTGAAATTATCTCAGAGAACCAAAGAAACACATACTCTCAGAAATATGTTCATTAATTGTTAAAGCGGTGAAACATCTACTTGGTAATTTGAAGAAGAGAGCATCTCCTTGACTTGATCATATATATTTTTTTCTTTGTATGGGAATTAAGTCAGTAAAACTCAATGGGAAGACAATTGTCTTGTATGAGGCAATCACTTTAAAAATAAAAACTTTTTCATATTGTATAAAAAGAAAGAGAAGTTTTCCTTATTAAGTTCTCTCTTGGAAAGATGTTGATGAAAGAGATAGTCCCCTGAAATTATTATAGACACAAAATAAAACGTAATCTCTCAGCCAAATGGTAGGTGGGTCTCTAGAGTTGGAGCATAGTTGCCCTGAGATTTGTTAGTTCAAATCATCACAGGAAAGATTTGTGAGCAGTTCTATTTGTGCACTTATTTGAAAGTCCTTCCCCCGCCCCCCTGTAGTCTATATGTAATTAATTTCAAAATTACTATAAACCATCCCATATGGTAAAGAAATAAAAGGATGCAATGATTTCCTTAAATTGTTGCTTTTGTCAATGAGATAGAGCTTCCACCAGTCCAGAGAATAGCTAATAGCACACCATAAATTCCTTTACTTTCAGACAAACTCCCCTGATAACACAGGTCAGAGGTTCCACAGATTAGTCCTGAAAGTTCAGGGGCTCTGAAAGTCCTTGCCTAGAAAAGAAAAACAATTTGTGTTAAGTGAGCTATTTCATAAAACATACAGAAAATTATTTACCCCCAACAAAAAACTCTAAACAGCAATTTAAAGAAATGAAATAAATACATAATTTTTCTTTTCACTTCATCATTTCTGAAATCAGTGTTTCTGCAACCAGAAAGCTACTTGACCCTGAAGCAATGGGAAGGGTAGATAAGCCTCAGTTGAAGACTATGTTCTAGAATTCAAAACACTACTGTTTAAGTCATACTATGAACTAGGTAATTGGTGATATTATAGTTGAAGTAACAATTACTAGTAGATTTACTCTGATCAGTTAAACCATCTTTGATCAAGCAACCAACTAAGTCTATCTGAAAAAGCAGCTCTTTTATATCACTATCATACACAAGTTCTTGCATTTCTTTCTACCTGCCTTGGGAACAGTAAGGGTAGTGATATGGTCCGAGTTACTTTACAAAGAATCAGTGAGTGGGATCAGGGAGCCTGAGTAGGAAGAAACAAATGGAAGACTAGGGTAGTAGTCTAAAGAGGGTTTTCAGTTAAGAGAACTCTAGAGGAAATAAAGAAATAACCATGATGAAATATTAGCTGAGGGCCAGGAATCTGGTTCAAGTAGTGGAGCATATGCCTTGTGTGTGAGGTCCTGAATTCAGCCCCTGGCCGTACATGGCCCTCTGAGCATCATCAGGAGTTACCCCTATTTAATATATATATATATGCATATATATGCACATATATGTGTATTTGCCAGATTGCATGTAATTAGCATATATTTCTAGAATGTCTACCTTGCTCTTGGCTAGATCCTTTCAAATCTTTCTAACCATATTCAGAAGAAATTCATTTCTTCCCCTCTTGTTTCACAAATTTATTTGGAAATAAAGGTTTCCAAAAAAACAATGCTTTTCTAATAGAGTAGAAAATGCATCCTGTTATTTTTTTTGTTCTTTTTTTTCTCCCCTAATTCCATCCTGAGGCACTAAATTTATTTATAGCTTGAAAAACACTTCTTGAGGCAAGAGGAGGAAAGCAGGACAAATACAATTCAGGAGCTATCTGATTTTTTTTTTAAGTAATTTCATTGTGGAAAGAAGGAAAATCAGGTACAAACACAAAATAAGGCTGGGAAATGTTCGAGCCTAGAAGCTAGAAACCAAATGGTCTTAACATTTTACGTAATTAAGGTGAAAATGAGACTCAAAAATATTGACTAACTTAGCAGGTCAAAGCAAGTTAGTTCTCCAAGATAAGCAGAGCCTTTTGGAAGCTCTCAGTTCCTTTCGGATATTTATAACTCACATATGGCTTATTTCAGTCTTGTCAATGAATCTTTGGGTCCAGATGACCTCTTACATGAAAATCGTACCATATTTATAAATTTGAGGTGATAGGCCTTCAAAACAAGCTCTTGTCCAATGAATCCCCCCATGCTTAGCCCCAAACCCAATATTCATCAGTGCATCATGGTGTCTTGATCCCCAGTTCTACTCACTATTCTAAGATGTGAGTCAGTCTCTAAAATAGTCTTCCCTCTTCTGAGTCAGCTCAGTTGTTCTTAAATTTTCTATTTTGTGACACCATGAAAAATTGAGGTCACAGCTTTGACGTGGCTGCCAAAAGGACCAGAGGCTTCTAGTACCACACCTTATTGAACTTCGTGTCTATGTGACTGCTTCCTGCTAAGAAAAAAGACAAAATGAATTTTTAAAATTTTATTAGTTAATGATGTCAAAATTTTTCACTGAATAAGCAATGCTAATATCTTCATACTAAAACCTTTCAGCTATTGTTTTCCGTGTTTTAAGGCATTGCTCAATAAAAACATGGAAAATTAATTATGCTTCTCTACCTTTTTCTGGTCAAGTGTAAATGAAACTGATTTTAATAGTCTACATTCTTATTTTTCCTCCGCCCCTCTCGGAGAGCCCGGCAAGCTACCGAGAGTATTGGATATGCCAGACACAGTAACAACAAAGTCTCCAATGGAGACGTTACTGGGCCCGCTCGAGCAAATCGACGATCAACAGGAGGGCCTTTACCTTTTACCTTTTACATTCTTATTTGCCAAGTTTAATGTGCAAGTTCGATATTTTATTGCATAATTGCCACAGAGATATTTATGATTGTTTAGTTAATTTATGTCTATAAACTACAGTTTACAAGTCATATGACAATCACATTTTGACATTACTATTGGGGGATTATTATCTGGTGCTAACTTTTGTATAAATAATTTTTTAAAGTTTTATATATCATAAAGTATTAAATGATTTATTGTAAAATAAATACTATATTATATTTCTTCTTTGGCACTTCTTTTTGCCAGCACTTTATTTAGCAATTTATAGAAATTTTTGCAAAATATAACAAAACAAGTCTCCTTACAGTTGCTTTTCGCATTTGTGGTTTGAACATAATTGCATTGCATTTTTTAACAACTAAGTGAATTCCACATGAAGAGAGCTATGCTCACTCTCTCTCCTCTCCCTTGAAACCCACAGACGTCTTGCCGGAAACGCTTTGACATACATTCCCAAGGGAGCATTTGCTGGCCTTTACAGTCTTAAAGTTCTGTAAGTAAACCGGGGGTATTTGTTGTATTCTGATGTTAGTGTCAAATGGATGCTAATTAATTTGCAAAGATCAAGTCCCTGTTATTAGCTACAGAAAGATATGGGAATAAATCATCTGAATTCCTTTTTTCCTTAGTGCCAGTGAAACATGTTGCATGTGTGTGAAAAACATTTTACCTCTCCTTTTCTATCTACAATATCTAAAATTGTTTGCTCCTGTATAGCCAACCTACTAACTGAAAGTTATGTAGAAGTTCTTTCTTTTCCCTGTGTGTTCTAAAAAATGGGAAGAGTTTATTTATTTTGATCATTTACTGACTTAATCTCAGTTGTGCTGACATAGTGAGAACACACTTCCCCACTACCTCCAAAGTTTTCTTATGATGCACTCAGTAATCTAGAAATGACAAGAAAGGTCCTTGTTGTAGGTTTATCTACCCTTCGTATGCAGTTCATGGCCAAGACACAGTTTCCTTATTATATTCTAGGCGTGATGGGGAACCAAGAAAAAGGTGTGAACAGGGACTGACATACCCAGATGTCACAGCTGAGCAAGATCAATGTGAGGATAAGGCAAGACTCCTTGCCAGGAACTCTGTTTGCTCTTCCCTCTATTATGCTGACTTAAAGACAACATTATAGAGGCAAATCCAGTTGTAAACCATTTTCAAAGTAAAATTGACTCTTGAGCAACTTGGGGCTAAGGATACCAAGAAAAATCCTATCACTTTTGACTTCCTAAAAAAAAAAATGTTGTATTGGGGCCATACCCAGCAATGTTCAGGGCTTACTCCTGTCTCTGCACTCGGAGCTCATTCCAGGTGAGCCTGAGAAACCATAGTGGGTGCCAGGGATCAAAACAGGGTTGGCCACATGCAAAGCAAGTGCCCTACCCACTGTACTATTGCTCCAGCACGGATTTCTTCAAAATGTAACTATTAATCTAGACCACTATTGACCAGAAGCCTTCACTTCCCATAGTGAAGTAATATATAACTTGTCTCTTTAAAGTATTATCTACTGCATTCTTAAGATAAAGTGGGCTAGAGAAAAAAAAAGCATTATAAGAAAGAGAGGGGCTGGACAGTTAGCACAGCGGATAGGGCGTTTGCCATGTACCGCGGTTTACCCAGGTTCAATTCCCAGCATCCCATATGGTCCCCTGAGCACTACCAGGAGTAATTTCTGAGTGCATGAGCCAGGAGTAACCCCTGTGCATCACCAGGAATGACCCAAAAAGCAAAAAAAAAAAATTAAAAAAGAGAGAGAAATAAGAGAAATACATTTGCAGTACTTTCTGTATTTATTGAAAAACATTTGTATGTAATTTTACTCTCAAACAGTTCAAATTCATGTTATTCAAAGAACACCTTATTTTTGCATTAGAGACAGGTTCTGAGCCATCACTGCAATGCCTGCTGCAAAATGCTTTTGGATATTTGTAGGGATATTTTTGTATTTCTGAATGTTGGCGGTAGTAAATTGTCCTGTGAGCTGCTACACAGCCCAGCATAAAGCATGTTCTTACATTCTCTCCTGTACTATGGCTCCCATAGACCATTTGCCACTGACTCCAGTTCAGATCCCCAGTACTACATATGTTCTCACAACCACAGCATGAGTCACTCCTGAGCACAAAGCCATGAATAACCCTTGAGCACTTTCTCTTGCTTCTGTTTGACTTTTGACTATCCTTCCTTCATACCACAACAAATAAAATCAGTGATATTTGTTATTAGAGAGAAAAATGGGTCTCATCAAGTTGATAAAATGGGCTAGACAAAAAATTGTTTATTATTTTCTCCACCAGTCAGGAGAAAATAATAAACAAAACCTGTCACTCCCCTCATGGAAACTAAAATGTTTTGTAAAGTCTGAAGTCATTGAGAGAAAGATGGAACTGATTCTACTGAATATGAGAAAGAAAATATAAAAGTAATACTTGTCTGGGACTCTAACCTGTATAAGTAGAGTAAAAAGGGCACATGGTTAAAGGAGAGAAAAATTATAATCCATTCCATCAAGGTGGAAAAGAAAGAGAGCAACATCCAGCCACAAATAGGGTCATTTGGGAGAAGGGAGGGTTTGAGGACCACACACGGTGGTCCTCAGGACTTACTTCTGGCTCTGGGATCAGGGATCACTCTTGCTCAGGGTACCTATGTGGTCCTGGGGATCAAAGCCAGGTTGGCTGCAGACAAGGCAAGTGCCTTCCCCTCTGTACTATCTCTCTGGTCCTAGGGCCATTTTTAAATTTAAAGCCTTATTACCATGGTCCTGAAGAGCCCTAAAACTTAAGATTATTCATTACATAGTGTTAGCCATTTAAAAAATATGCTTTGAGACTGGAGCAATAGTGCAACAGGTAGGTCATTAGCCTTGAAGGTAGCCGACCCAGGTTTGATTCCCAGCATCCCATATGGTCCCCTTGAGCACTGTCATGGGTAATTCCTGAGTGCAGAGCCAGGAGTAACACCTGAGCATCACCGGGCGTGACCCAAAAAAGCAAAACTAAATAAAAAAATAAAAAGTATGCTTTGACTTTGTGTTATAAAATACCTAATCCTGTGGAACTCTGAACCATGCAGTCGTCAGCAGAAGACTGGGCTGTTTAAGAATGGGGTCTGATGTATAGTCGAAGTGACATCTGCACTTGTTTGTTCATTGCAGCACTCTTTACAATAGCCAGAAACTGGAAGAAACCTGAGTGCCCAAGAACAGATGACTGGTTAAAGAAACTTTGGTACATCTACACAATGGAGTACTATGTAGCTCTTAGAAAAGATGAAGTCATGAAATTTACATACAAGTGGTACAATATGGAAAGTATCATGCTAAGCGAAATGAGTCAGAAAGAGAGGGATAGACATAGAAAGATTGCATTCATCTGGGGGATATAAAGTAACAAAGTAAGAGATTAATACCCAAGAATAGCTGAGATCAGCACCAGGAGGATTACTCCATAACTTAGAGACCAGCCGGGTATCCTAGAGGAAAGGGCAGTTCAGATAGAGAAGGGAGCACCAAATAAAGGATGTTTGGAGGATCCTCCCAGGAGGGGAGATGCATGTCGAAAGTAGACTATGGACTGAACATGTTTGCCACTCAATGCCTCTTTTGCAGACCACAACACCCAAAAGGAGAGAGAGAACACAGGGGATTGCCCTGCCACAGAGACAGGGGGGATGGGGGGATTGGGGTGGGAGGGATATTATCCATGGTGGTGGAAAATGGGCACTGGTGGAGGGATGGGTATCTGATCATTGTATAATTGAAACCAAAGCACAAAAAATTGTAAATCTACAACTTTAAAAAAAAAATACAATAAAGGGAAAAAAAAAAAAAAGAATGGGGTCTGGTCCTGACATCCTCTGTCAGAACCAAAGCTTCATGGCCATGATGGATGAAACTAACCATAAAAAAGTCACCACTAACCAAAATTCCCTGTCTCATGTAGAGTCCATGTAGACCCAGAATACAATCTGAGTACTTTAGTACTTTCTTGGTATCTAAACAAAGAACAATTGGGCTGAAGAAAGATCTAAAACTCAGGCCATCAATTCTAAAGTCCCCATTTATCTCCCTCTACTTCTCTGTATTCTTAATTAGGACAGTTGGCCAAAAATAACGCATACCAAAAAAAAAAGTGTCAATAAAGTAACATAAGGATATTGTATGAAATAGAAAAGATTTTCAAGCTCCTTGGTGTTAGAAATGAAGAACATATGAAGTCATCATTTGCTTCTAGAGAATGTATTCCATTTTATTTTCTTGCCCATCCGTGAATGATAAACATTAAGTTCTAAGTATTCAGCTCATGATGTAGTCTGCTTATATCCACTGGACTAAGTAAAAAAATATTTGCAAAAGAAATCAGCAGCCATGTTGTGGATGTTTTCTGTTTTAATTGCACCCCATAGTGCTGTAAACCCTTTAATTGTTTTGTCCCCCATAGGAATATCTGAAACAAAAAACAGAATTTTCTAATTAACTCACTGGAGACTTATAAGGATATGCTGAAGATAACTTGTTCTTATTTTGTCATTTGAAAGTAATTAAATAAAAATTCTTTTGGAAAAAATCATAACTTAAGTATTTTTTAAAAAAAACACTAATTTTTTTTACTGCTAGAAGTAGTCAAAAAGTTCACTGGAAAATCGCTCAAGCTTGCTTTAAAAGTTATAATTATTAAAGCTAGATTAAGCTACATTTTCTAAAACCAAACAAATAAAGCTACTGAAAATATTTACATCTACTAATGATAAGAAATGATCTAAAAATCTCTTATCCTCATCAATTGCTTGGCAGTAAATCTAAGCAAGATTGTTCATGGCTAACATAATGTAGTTAATATATATATTATATATATAGTTAATATATATGTTAGATATATATCTAATTATAATGCTGTACAGATGAAATCAATATCATATTTGTTTGTTTTCTGTGCCAGGGATCAAACCCAGGGCTTCACATGGGGGAGACTATGAGGCATGTGCCTTACCACGTAGGCACATCCTCTGCCCCCTATAATGATTTTAACCAATGAAAATATTAAAAATGAAGAGGTAATAAGTATCTTTACTGCTTTACTTCAATTTCCCAGCTACTTTATTTTATTTTACTGCTATTTTTATTTTATTTGGAGTGGTAATTTGGGCCACCCCCAGCAGTGCTTGGGATTCACTTCCAGTAGTGTTTCAGAGACCATGCAGTACCACATGCAAGGTAAGCCCCCTAAGCACTGCATTACCTCTGTGGTCATTTCCAGATGTTTTAGGAAAATCATGTTTTTTTCATTGCTAAGAGAAGCAACAAAGAACAATTCAATACATACTTTTTTTAATGATATATTCCCTACAAATTGATATATTTAGACATCAATTAACTATATTATTTTTATCTTATTTGTTTTATCATAATTTATATGTGAATTGAAGTACATTTTTGTGAAGTTTAAATTATTTGATATATTAAAATTTCTTGGAGAAAATAATACAGAAATGTAAATTTTCAAATTTAGGTAATTATGAAAAACATGAAATTCAAGTTATAATTTTCTCAAACTGGACAGTGAGATAATTATGTCTCCCCTATAATTTGCCTTTCTTCAGAAGTTAGTTAACTATTAGTTAAATCCAACTTTTAGGGGTTTTTAGGAAGGTGAAAAAGAGACTACCCAGCCAGGGAGGAACTCACCATAGGACTAAATTCTGAATACAAGTTTAACATAATAACGTGAATCAAATTAGTGGAATGTAAATGAAAATTACATTATTTAGAAAAAAGAATCTCAGCACTAGTAAGAAAAACCTGACTATTACGATCTCCAAATATTTTTCACATTTCATTTGTCTATGAGCTCATATTGTATATATTAAAATATTATAAAGAACCTTCATCTTTTAATCCTCAGATGCCTTATAGGTCAGATGATTATTCTGTTTCCATTGTACCACTATCCTCCCGTTGTTCATCGATTTACTCCAGTGGTCCCAGTAACATCTCCATCATGAGACTTCTTGTTACTGTGTTTGTCACATCAAATATGTCATGGGAGCTTGCCAGGCTTTGCTGTATGGACGAGATACTCTTGGTAGCTTGCAGGGCTTTCCAAGAGGGGCTGAGGAATCAAACTCGGGTTGGCCGGGTCGGCCGTGTGCAAGGCAAATGCCCTACCCTCTGTGCTATCACTCCAGCTCTGTTTCCATTATGTAGATAAAAAACAGGAAAGTAAATTGTGTCCTTGTTAAGTCTCAAAACTGAGTCTGATCTCTAAACTCCATGAGTCCTCAAGTTTAGGTGAAAATATTCTATTAGATATACTTCATATGCTATAGGGCTACATATACTTATATATGTAGTGTGTGTATGTGTGTGTGTGTGTGTTTGTATGTGTGTGTTACATCACCAGCACCTAAGAGATTACTAGAAATATAAATTCTATGACCCTTACCCAGGTCTGTCAGACCAAAAACTTGGCAACTTATGTTTCAATGAGCCTTTTAGATTGTATGAAAACTCAAATTTGAGAACCATTGACATTAATTTTTCTTTTTTGGCAGCCTTAGTAATTAAAATGTCACATCCACTATATGTCCACACTAGTTATTTGAGAAGGTACATATCAATCAAATCAATTCATACCAAAAAGGTCTTACCTTTATTGAATTCTTCCTGTGTAGTTCATATTGCTCTGTGGACTCTCATTCATTGGATTTTCACAACAAGCCCCAGGAGGTGGTTACTATAACTGGCAACTAAGATTTAGAGAGATTGGGTGATTTCCCTAAAGCCTCCCTACTAGTTTCAGGGAAGAGGCAGAGTATATGAGAACCAGTTTGTGAATCTTAGCATTTGTATATTCAGCAAATATTCCCCAAGAGAGTGATCCAAAGTGTTGTAAGAAGTTCATCAAGCTTTGGACTTAAATCCCAGCTGGTCACCTAATGAAAAGAAATTTGATTGTGGAGATGAGAGAACCAGGCAAATGTCTTTGGAAATCCAAGTGCAAGTATATGATCTAATAAGTAGAAACATTTCTTTAAAGTGCCTATTTTCTTAAACTAGTCTTCTACCTCTGGCTTACATGGACCATGAAATTTTAGGGGCGGAGTGGAGTAGAATGAGCTACAAAATTATAGTGTTATATAAGCATTTATGTATAAGGTAGCAAAGTACAAGGGATCTGCTAGGAACATTTCCCGTGTTATTTTTCCACTCACGTGATATATTTTTATTTTATGGCAGCCAGGTGTTTCCATCCTGTAATCCCCATGTTCTGAGAACAGGCTATTGAACCTAGGAGAGAAAAAAAATTGCAAATATTTCCCCAGAAGAAGTTAATTTCTATCAAAACATGGCCTTGTTCAAGAAGCACGACTTTAATTACTTCCTACTGTTCTTCTCATTTCCACTCTGTCTAATCTATGTAGTCATCAGAGAGTAATTCATCTTTTAAAAACATGGGATCACCTCATTTTCCTTAGGACTTAAATCCTTCCAAAGTTTCTTCTCACATTTGAGATAAAGTCTTTTGTGTCCTGTAAGACGCCTCCCCAAGATGGCCCAAGGGCCTCTCTCCCAGTCCCTTGTTCTCACTTCCTCCTCTTCCTTCACAACTGATCCTTGGCTGCTTCTTTAATCAATGAATTCAACTCCAGCCTCAAAGCCTTGCCCCGCTCTTTCCTCTTCTTCAACAACTCTGCCCAGATGTCCACAGGAATTGCCAGCCGACTCCCTTCTGGTCTCAATTCAAATTCACCTCCCCAGAGATACCATCTCTCATCAAAATAAAATCTCACTCTTATTTGTCATCTAACCCAAATTCGTGTTTGTCTGTTTGTTTAATTCCTAGCAGCTCTCAATTGCCTCATGTTCTGTATCTGTTTGTTAATTCTGTTCCCCACAGAAATGTAAGTTACCCTGTATCAAAATTGTATCATTTGCTCTGCTATTTTCCTAACTTCTATAGCAATGCTATGGTCAGTTACTACCACTAATTATTATCATAATTATTATCATAATTATTGTTAACTTTAATATTTCTTTAAATTTGTTTTAATGTGCAGCATGCTACAGAATAATCATCTCAGACAGGTACCCGCAGAAGCTCTACAGAATTTGCGAAGTCTTCAATCCTTGTAAGTATGGCTGAAATTTTAAATGTTCTCAGGTTCAATTTGGGAAAGAGCATGTTCATGTTCAACTGAAGCATGCCACAGGAGTGTGTTGGGGGCAAAGGGCAGTTAGGATAGAGAAGGGATCAGCATGACAATAATAGCTGGAAATGGTCATTTTGGACAGGAACTGAGTGTTGAAAGTAGGTAAAGGGATATTCCTCATAATCATTCATTTTCTGTATTACAAACCATAAGGCCCAAAAGGAGAGAGAAACAGAGAGACAGAGACAGAGAAAAAAAACTGGGACCATTGGTGGGAAACGTACACTGATAAAGAGACAGTTGTTAGGACATTATAGGACTGAAATCCAATTATGAACAACTTTGTAAATGTGTTTATCACTGTGATTCAATAAAAAAAAATTGAAAACAAAAGAAATATCCAGTGGAGGGGCTGAAGTGTTAGTACAGCAGATAGGGTGTTTGCCTTGAACATGGACAATCCAGGTTCAATTCCCAGCACCCCATATGATCCTGAGCCTGCCAGGAGAAATTCATGAGTGCAGAGCTCGGAGAAACTCCTGAGCATCACCAGGTATGGACCAAAAACCAAAAAGAAAAAACAAAATAATGTCCAATTAAGTCAGAGATAAATTGGCGGATTAGAGTTCATGCAAGAGGCCTGAGTTTGATCCCTGGCATTGCATATGGTCTCCTAAGCATCACCAGGAGTGACCCCTCAAGCATGGAATAAGAAGCTCTGAGCTTCTATCCAACTGTCCAATTTAGTAACTTCCTTATTTGGGGACCTAAATAAATTGTGAGTGAAACTTTCCATTAGAGCAACAATTCATATAATACCTAAACAATATGTTAGAAGAATTAGTGTTAGAATTGAGAACAGAAACTTAATCATAACACTTCTGGTCAGTAGCCTGTTCTATAATCTGGTATCTCAGAACAAAATATCTATTTCCAGGATCATGTTCTGCAGTCATCTATATTTTTTTATTTCCTGAACTCAAATCATAAATAAAATTTTCTTATGTCTACAAAAATGAGTGTCACAACCTAGATGTCTTGACATCTTCAAGTTATCATGTTTTAAATTAGCTGAGCTGCCATATGTTAAAATTTCCTGGGTCAAAAAACAAAAACTTGAGTTCTGTGTATACATTAGGGAACCTCACATCAGTAGGTCAAAATCTAATGGTATATCTTTTGTTTTGTTTGGGGGCAACACCCAGCAGTGCTCAGAGCTTGTTGCTGACTCTTTTTTTTTCAAGTGGTAGAGCACATGCCGTGCCTATGTGAGACACAGTGTTTGATCTAGCTTCAAATGGCCACAGGCACCAGAACAACAACTCACAAACTCATACTCACAAAAAAATTTTACACATGCATATACATATAGCTCAGATTCACATACTACATGTAACCACATACAGGCACAGAGTTAAAATGCTGGTATTTTCTACTGAAGCCACCCAGTTCTCTATCATGAGTTCCCACTCTCCAATGATTAAGGACCTCTGAGTAAGGAAAAAGTAGCTATTACAGAAAGAACTTTCATATCAGTTAGATGTTTTCCAACTTGAGTAGTAAGCAATTTTCAACAGCGTTTTATTAGAACTATCCTTTGAATACTTGGTCATTAATCTTCATCTCATTGGTTGTGTGTTTGCAGTGTATTGCCTGATTTCTTGTCTGGTTAGGTGTGAACTCTGCTCTCATCTTACCTAAACTGCAATCTCATCTGTCAACAAAATACTGGGTTCTGCTTGAGAATGCTGTCGGACATAAATGCATTTTAAAAAGAAATAAATATTATGGATGCTAGTTGAAAATCACTGTAAAAAAAAACCATTGGTTAATGATTCTTATAGTTTGCTTAATGCTTCTAACAGACAACAGAAGAGGAGAAAGAATGTGAGATTTGGAAATGATACTTTCTTCCTTTGATCATCCCTTTATTTTTTTTTAATGAAAGCATATCTGCACTTGAGATCATTTGAGCTTTTTGCTCTGAACAAAGTGACTTCCTAGGTTTCACCAACCTATAGATAAATAAGCCCACAAGGGTCCCTTTGTGGCAATCAATAGGTTGTGGTATTTTCAGGAGCTCCTTAATGACATCATGGTATCATTCCACCTTTGTGGCCCAAGCCTTTTCCTGAAGGGAAGAAGCCACAGGCAGAGAATCAAAACTCTCCCAAGTAGGGTTGCCTGTGTAAGGACACAGGGTCTAGTGACTGAATTGAAAGCAAGATAATAGCAGTGGCCGAGAGGGACTTGAAACAGCTGTGAGGCAGGCAGAAGATAGAAGGATAAGAGTATGTAACCAAAAGCCACTATCAGCTGAAAGAAGATCACAAACGGAACACACACAGAAGTGAACTCTTTGAGAAAGAGAAAACCATGAATCTTTTGTTCACTCGAGCTGGGTGGTGCCTCTCTGATAAAGGTGTTCAGATTCAGTTTCTTACCGTCAAGATCTCTGCTGTTCACCAGGTGTCTCTTGAATTTGGTTTCTGGTTCACAAAAGCAATTACGCTTGAAACCTTATAAGTGTGTACTCGCTGTGAAAAAGCCAAGGGTTAACTTTCTAGTCTGTCACTTATCACAACCAAAATGAAGCATCTAGATAGATCCTTAGCCCCTAGTGTGGGTCACATCAGCTGGACATGTAATATTTGTTAGAGGTCCCTTTGTCCAAAGTAAATATCTATCCATGTGAGATGATAAATGTTGGCAATGTGCACTGCTCTGCCACTTTTCCTGTGGCACTTTGATATAAGAATTAGGATTTGAGGGTTTGGAGCAATAGTACAGCTGGTAGGGCATTTGTCTTGCACACGGCTGACCCTGGTTTGATTCCCAGCATCCCATATGGTCCCCCGAGCACCACCAGAAGTGATTCCTGAGTGCAAAGCCAGGAATAACCCCTGAGCATCACTGGGTGTGACCCCCCAACAAAGCCAAAAAAAAAAAAAGAAATAGGATTTGAGACCTAGAGAGAGAGTATAGCAGGCAAGGTACTTGCCTTGCACATGGCCAATCCATGTTTGATCTCTGGTACCTCATATAGTTCCCCAAGCCCTTCCAGGAGTGATCCCTGAGTAGAGAGCCAGGAATAAGCCTTATTTTCTGTCAAGAAGAAAAAATATACCCTAAAGTTTTACTCTTGTTCAAAACATTTAATAGTACTTCTGCTTCCTTTAAGCAATTTCAAATTCTAAAACACTAAAGTCAAATGACCATTGCAAACATGCATTTCCTCACCCAGTCTCCATTTTCTGTGCCATAGTTTTGTCTTTGTTCTACTTCCTTGTCAGTGAGAACAGCAAAGACTATCTCATCCCGTTGTCAACACTCGGGAGGTGTTACCCAGCTCCCTTTCTTAGCCAGCTCTTGTTCCTTAGACAATGCACTGAGCCATTTTTACCAGTGGTTCCTCCTTTTTCTCTGTCTCAAATTTACTCCATCTTAGAAGTACCTCACATCCCACAGAGTCTGAGCATATTGCTCTATACATAACCAGATTGTGCCATTTTAAAGGAGGCAGAGTAGCATCATCTGGTGACTCCCAAAGCCAAGGTTGCATCCCAGATGAAGTTGAGTCAGAATCTCTGAACATCACTGTTGTCTAGCTGGTTTAGCTATTAGAGTTAAATGCTTCTTCCATGCATATTGGGAAGACTAGTACTGTAGCCTTCCCTTGGTTATCTGAAAATAATCTGAACTCAAAATATTCCAAATATTTTGGAAAACCTAAAACACAAAAAAAAATCATAATTTGAATTTCAGTGTAAACAGATAATGCATGTAGAAAATGAACTAAAACTCAGGCATCACCTTGTTTGTTTTAGTTGAAACAGTTCACATCTGCTTCATCACTCTACTGACAGATACTGACTGCTGGGGCAGATAGAGTTAGACCGTCACAAATAAATCTTCCTCTGCCATTCAGTGGTGTCCATGGATCACAAGCAGCCTCAGCACCTCGTGAAACAGACTTCCCCTCTGTCTCTCATCATTTGAGGCATCATTTTAAGAAAATCCCCAGGTTATTTGTCAGCACAGTGCTTTTGAGAAATGAAAATAGTTTGTGTCCTTTGACACCAATAACATGGCCTGCAAAACAAATGTGGTTGAGAACTGCTGAAATGGGCCACTAGTCTATTTTTCTTCTCCCAGCTAGACCTTGCTTCCTTGACTAAAGTTTCAGAAACTTGATACATTGACATTGGCGATATTGCTGTGAGGAAGAAACGTATTGTGCTGGTGTTTTAAGGGATGTAATTTTCCATTTATTTTCATATCAACAAAAGACAGTTTGCTTCATTCATCATGAAAGCATATAGGTGTATTTGTGTGCATTTAACTCTCTCCTGATGTTTATGAGTTACTCAGCCAGAATCAAAAGACAAGCCGTGGGCCAGAGCCCAGTAGCCCAGAGCCTGTCCCTGTATAATACATACACAGCAGTTACTGCCCAGGCACCAAATGAATTATTTGTAATGTAATCAAATATAACTTAATTTCCTTTCTGTTTTTTGGAAGGGTATAGGAAATGTAATCAGAAGTCACAGTGAGCCACATTTTAGCAACAAACTTTTGGCATTACAATCATTTGAAGACTAGGTCAGATTATAGTGATTTGGTGAAAATTCAAAACTTAACCCTCCCGTATCCTTGCACCTTTGTAGAAATAGTTAAGAAATTGGTCTATGAAAAAAAGCATTGTTTCACTTGTTGCTAGTCATTAACAATGTTCAAACATCTGTCATTGGTTAAGTTCAAAATGATCAAAGAGAATAGTCTATTCCTGTTTGTCCAGTTTACCAAAGTATTATTTAATGCAGGCTGGCATTCACTACAAGACAGCATTAGTACAGCTCATTGTGGAATATGCACAACCAAAAAAAATGGGTTGGTAAATGGCAAATGTGAGAAGCAAAAGTTTCTTTATTATTGTGTCCCACTAGCTCATATTCCTCTTCAGAGTACAAGACTGAATT